AAACTATTCACATCTTTTAGTATATAGTATATGAAGACAAAAACCACAGCAGAAGTGAAAATGCTTTCATTTGGTTTTAGAAGGGTGAGAAAATATCGTTTGTACTATTATGGAATCTTTATTTTGATCTTTCTTATCTTTCTTCCTTTAGTACTACAAAGTAATCATTTCTTGCACCTACTACAAACTGATGATGTTCAAATAGGATCTACAGTCATGACTATGCTACAGAACATACTACACATCAACAGGTGATTTAGTTTTACAAAATATTACTGATGGGTTTTTTTATCATATGCATTACCGATTTTATGCCAGTTTTGCTGAAATCATTCTTTATACATTATCTGTACATGATACTTTAAAAGCCCTATTATTACTGTTTCTCTCTTAATAAAATTTTGACATTAGGAAATTTGTGTTGAATTAGTATAATCTCAAAACTTAAGAAACTTTAACCAAATCTCAAGCTTACAGTAAATAATTACTGTGATACCTGAACAATAATACTAGAAACACAATAAAAATACTTAATTTTAAAAATTTATTAGCAAATATCAGACAACTATTGAGTGCTTAATATTGTGCCAGGTATATGGAAGGAGGAAGAAGTTCTGATGGAAGATGAGTAAGGAGTTGCTCTGCTCACCCAAAGGCAGGTGGTTCAAATCCACCAGCTCTTCTGTGGGATAAAGTTGAGCAGTCTCTTCTCATATGATTTACAGCATATGAAAACCGGTAAAGGGTCAGCTGTGAGTTAGTTTCAACTTGATGGCACATAACAACAATACTGTAGAAGAGTTTAAAAGGAAATGGACAGTTTTATAAGGTTAATTTGAAAGACAGAATATATATTATTGATATTTTTGATTCTTAAGCAGCTACTATGTAACTACCAAGTGGAAAGAGCCTATTAGCATAGTAGGTTAACTTTTAGGCTGCTAACTGAAGGATAAGTAGTTGGAACCCACAAACCAAGTCCACAGGACACAAGTGAAATACTTGCTCCCAATAAGATTTATAGCTTCAGAAAATTGTTAGAGGTTCAGCATGAATTAAAATGGACTTTGGCAGTAGATTTCATTTGGTTTTTTATATGTCAGATTAGAGTACTAGTGCCTTGGTGTATAATCACCTGTCTACTACCTGAAAGGTCAGGAGTTAAAAACCACAGACTGCTATGTGGAAGAAAGAAGTGATAGTCTGATTCTAAGAATATAAACAATCTTAGACTCCCTATGAGCAGGTCTGCTGCATCCTGCAAAGTTATTATGAATCAGAATTGACTCAGTGACAACCACGTACTGTGTGCATGCCAAGTACTGTGCCTGCTTTACATAGTCACAAGTTAAAATATTTAAATAAGATTTTCTAATCTTCAAAGAATTGAATGTAAATTGTAATAAACATTTTGGGGTGATTACATTTTAGAGAGCTAAGTTATAGTGTAAAAAGTGTTTAAAAGGGTTCTCCCACCATCCCCGCCGTGGTTCCCAGCAGCTTGGTGGCAGGTGGAGTGGCAGTGCCAGAGCAACCCAGCTTCATGAAGGTCTGTTCATGCCGTGACCCACAGGCTCTGGGCACGAGCCCTACCTGCTGCCAACATGTCCAAGAGGAAGGTCACCTCGGCCAAATGGGTGGTGAAGGAGGAGCCCAAGAGGATATCAGCGAGGCTGTCAGCTAAGCCACCTGCAAAAGTAGAATTGAAGCTCAGAAAGGGCAGCAGGAAAGGAGATGTCTTCTGAGGGGAAAAAAAAAGGAGCAAACAAAAGAGAAAAGGGGAGCAAAGGGAAAACAGGCTGACATAACTACTAACCAAGAAACCAAAGAAGATTTACCTAAAAATGAAGAGTCCAGCCTCTGATGAAGCAGGAGAAAAAGAAGCCAAGTCTGATTAATATTTGTCTACCGTGTCTTATCAGTGGTTCTTGTATCTCCCTTCTTGTACAATCCAAAGGAATATTTTTATCAACTGTTTTGTAAATAAAAATTTTTTTTAGTAGCTGTAGAAATATTTTTAAGAAGAAGGAAATCCCACTTCATCCCATTTTTAAGTGTAAATGCTTTTGTTCAGAGGTGAGATCATTTGCTGGTTGTTTATTTTCTGGTACAACCAGAAAATATTGAATATTAAAATTGTGGGTGGCTTTGGATGTCAGTGTCACATTCCATGGGGGAAAGGGGACAGTTTTTATATCCCATAATACATAGCATACTTAATAACCATTTGACATCATAGTCATGCACTTATGACTTGAATATTTTAAGTCTATTTTCAATGTTTTTTAGATACATAAATTAGAATATTGTTTAGTAAAATTTCTTCTTAAACATAAACACTCCTCTTCATGGCTTTCTCCCTGTCAGAACTATGGATTCTGTAACATCTTTGGTCTTGATAGTCCAATTTTTGTAATAACTTTGTTATGTGTTGTGAACGGTTGAAAATTTGAAAGTGTAGTGTTTGTATGCAGAACAGATCATCCGGGACACTGGGCTGTACGAGGAGGAATGTGGCATCAAGACTGGTGGAAGATTCATCAATAATCTGCATTATACAGATGACACAGCCTGCTTGCTGAAACTGAGGAGGACCTGAAGCGCTTATTGCAGAAGGTTAAGGACTGCAGCCTTCAATATGGATTGAAGCTCAACATCGAGAAAACAGATTCTCACCACTGCGCCAATTGACAGCATCATTATGGATGGCGAAGAGATTGAGATAGTTAACAGTTTTAGTTTACTTGGCTCCACAGTCAACACTCTTGTTACCAGCAGCCAAGAAATTAAGAGACGAATTATATTGGGAATGTCAGCTGCCAGGGACCTCTCCAGAGTACTGAAGAGAAACGACATCAGGCTGGAGACTAAGGTGCGCCTGATCCAGGCTATAGTCTTCGCAATTACATGCTATATGTCAGAGAGCTGGACATTGACTAGGGATGATAGAGAATTGATGCCTTTGAGCTGTGGTGCTTGAGAAGAGTGTTGAATATACCATGAACTGCTAGGAGAACAAACAGGTTTGTCCTGAAGAGGGTGAAGCCAGGCTGCTCCTTGGAGGCAAGGATTCTTAAGCTTTGTCTGACATATTTTGGGCATGTTGCAACGAGGGACCAGTCTTTGGAGAGGGACATCATGTTTGGGAGAGTGGAGGGACAGCGCAGGAGAGGAAGACCCTTGATGAGATGGATTGAATAAGTGATTGGAGTAATGGGAGTGGGTGTGTCGGAGACAGTGAGGTTGGCACAGGATAGAACTGCGTTTAGGGCTCTTGTACGTAACTACAACAACAAAGTGATGTGACAATTTATTAACAAGTGAAGATGTTGGTACTTACTTTCTTCTTTATGAAAACTTTCCTCCAAATTTAAAGCTGGAAGGTCACTGTAATTTAGGAAAAATTATAACTATGTGGCTTTTTACATTTTTGGTACATACACTAAGAATTTTGTACAGGTTGTTCATAATGTCTCTGTACTTACTGGCACCTAAAACAATAAAATAAAAACCATGAGAGAGAAAGAAAAGTGTTTAAAAGGGTTAAAAGAGTATCTAAACCAAATTGGGGAGCTTTAGTGGCCTAGTCTTTGTCCTTAGAAAACTGATCTGCTACCCTGACAACAAACAGTCCAAACCAGCAGCAGCTCTCAGGGAGAAAAATGAGTAATCTCCCTCTTGTAATTTCTAGTCTCTGAAAATTCACTGCAGAGTTAACTGTGACTTTGTTCCAGATTGACAGCATATAACAGTTCCTCTCAGACAGATAAACCTAAAGCCTGTTTATCTCAGTTTCTTTTTTCCTATTCATCTTAGCTCCTTATCCCCAGTACATCAAGCTCAATTTTCAACTAAACGTTGTATGCTAAAGGGTAACAATGTTATGAATAAACAGGACAGACAGAACCATACTCAGAAATGAAGATACTTTAGAAGTATCAGACAAAATTTAAAGAGGGGCTTAGTTAGGTCACTGATGGAAAAAGACTTTATACAAGAACAGTGGGTATTGTGTTCAGAGAGCTAGAAATTGTAATAAACAATCAAATAGAATTATTAGAAATAAAAAATAGTAACAGATAAAGAAAATTATCTGATGAATTATCAGTACAGAGGGCATAGTCAATAAAAGATCAGGGAACTTGAAAATATGTCAGTAGAAAGGTACCAAGCTGTAAAGAAAAAAATAATGAGGAAAAAGAATACTCAAGAACTATGGGACAGTTACAGAGTATAAAATGCCAAATTGGCAGGATAAAGATCAACATACAAAAATCAATTGGATTTCTCTACAGTGACAAAGAGAAAACAGAACTGGAGCTTAGAAAAACAATACCCTTTGGCGAGCTCTGGTGACCTAGTGGCAAGAAGCTGCACTGCAATTTCAGAGGTACACAGTTCGAATCCACCAGATGCTTGGCTGGAGAAGGAGAAACAATCTCCTCCTGTATCAGTCAGATCTGATTTGACAGTACACACAAAAAATAATGAAATACGGCATTGAAGTCTATGGGGGAGAGAATAGTCTAAAAGTATTATATTTTAGGTCATTATTTTTATCGTAGGAGTATGCAATGAGGGTTGCAGAGTGGATTATATTTGGGGGTAGGGGGTGGGGTTTGGGGAGGTGCGGGGGGGGGGGTTGGGTACCAATGAGGGAGTTTTTCTTTTGCTTTTCAAGGAGAGGAGCAAACGGGGGGGGGAGGGGTTTGTGCGGGAAGAAGGGTGCAACAATGAATGAATGGAATTCCAAAATCTCTGTAGATGTTCATTGAAATGAAAAATAAACAACCTAAATTTAAAAAGAAATAATAATAATGAAATAAAATTTAAAAGAAAAGAAAAACAATACCCTTCACAATTGCTAATTACAAGATTAAATACTTGGGGAGCAAATCTAACCAGAAGCACAAAGGATCTATTCAAAGAAAATGACAAAACATTACTACAAGAAACAAAAAGAGACCTGAAAAAGTGGAAGACTGTCCCTTGCTCATGGATAGGAAGACTCAATATTGTGAAAATACTACCAAAGGCAGTTGACACGTTCAAGGCAATCCCAATACAAATACCAATTCCATTCCTCAACGAGATGGAAAAGGCAATCTCCAATTTCATTTGGAATGGAACGAGGCCCCGAATATGCAAACCACTCCTTATAAAGAGAAACAAGGTAGGAGGCATCTCACTCCCTGATTTCAGATCCAACTACATTGCCATGGTGGTCATGACAGCGAGGTACTAGTACAAT